TAGGAGACCCTCATTGTTATACAGAATACATGGATGATGTTGTGAGGAGAAAAAAAACAAAGTGTGTCATATTAGATTGGGTAGAGAGAAGTGATGGGAGGGGAGGGGAGGAGAAGGGGGGAGAGGAAGGGCAGCAGAATAAAATAGACATTATTATTGCTGTGGTTATATACATGACTGCATGACTAATGTGATTCTGCAAGGTTGCAATCAGAAAAATGAGAAATTATACCCCATTTGATTCAAATGTATGAATTGTCAAGATCATTGTACAGTCATGTGTAGCTAATAAAGAGAGAGAAAGAGAGAGAGAGAGAGAGAGAGAGAGACAGAGACAGAGACAGAGAGACAGAGAGACCGAGAGAGAGAGAGAGAGAACTTACATCTTTGTGTACTCATAGGTAAGAGCTTCCATCTAATACCTAGATGGCAAGAGAAACCAAACCTATCTTATGCCAGTTAAAATGGTCTCTGAAGATAGATTAAAAGATGTCTCCAAATTTATTTCTTGGCTGAATTGTGCTTTTCCTAGTAAGAGATTAAAAGTATGGTAACAATCTATGTTTGAGCCTTTTATTCATTTAGTCAGTGAAATTAAAATACTGGTAGATGGTAATTAAATGAAAAAAAAAAGCATTTCTAATGGAGCTAAGAGGGCAAGGTTCATTGTTTATGGTGCTCTGCTCAATTACCTTAAAGCTGACTGCAGTTGCTTGATGTCATCAAAACCTCTGCATGTCTATACTCTGTTCTACAACAAAGATCCTCAAAGTATAATCGTTAGACCAGCAGGAGCATCTCTTGGGAGCTTGTTATAAATGCAGTTTCTCAGGACTTACAAATACTGAATGAGAAACACTGAAAGGGGTAAACAGAAATCTATGTTTTATCAAATCTTCCAAATGTTTGTCATTTGTACTCCAGTCTACAAAACACATTCCTAGTGGCATTGACATGGGCCATAGGACTTTTGGATTTTTTGGAACCATATTGAGCCACACTTCAAGACTACTCCAAAAGGTCCAAAGGAACCTTGCTAACCTCTAACCCTCACAGCTCTTAGCAATTTCTTGAAAAGTCTAGGCACCATGGAATCTACATATCCAAAGCCATATGGCCTGAGAAATGGCCAGGTATTTAAAAATTCTTGAAACTAGTCACAGTATGTGTCACATGTGGCCCAAATGAAAGAAATTCATTCATTTTTTCAACAAGTATATTTGAGCATCTTATCTATCCCTACTTACATGTCTGAGACAAGAGTCATAAAGTCTAAAGGAGAAAATAAGATAAAGAATACAATGATATACTAAATTTGAAAAGAGATCATCTCTGACTGAGGGAAATCAAGCTCAATTTAAAGGAAACCAAACTACAGATTTAGTTGTTGAATATTTATATAATCAATGGGTAGACATAGAGATTTTGAGCTTCCGTAAGTTTTGATTAGTTTGGAAAGATAAATTTGGTGGCTGAATTTGAAACTGAAGTTTTGAGATGAAACTAGATTCTCTGATTCACCAATTTATTTCTGGGTTCTTGTCTCAAAAATTTGAAGAATAAAATCCATGGACAATAACAGAAGGGAAGAGTAAATAGAATAGTATTTATTTCAGTGAGAAGAAAAATGAATGTAAGAGGGCACCTGAGAGCAGGAAAATCCATTTTAGCATGCTAGCTCAAGGGCTTATATAGTTTTTTTGGGGTATGAGCATTGATCAAAATCTATGTTAAACAGGCATTGAAAAAGTACCAAAATCATGGACTGTGTTCTTTAGCCTTGAGTTTTAATCTTTCCTGTAACTAGATTCATCCTATCTAGCATTTTTGTAGACTCTGAGACAAAGGAGTCTTTGCATATGAAAAAGGTCTTGATGGGTCCATTAATGTTTTTATCAGGTAGTCCAGAAAGGTCTTTGCAGGTAGTCCAGGAAGGTCCCCTTAATTGGGGACCATTGCCCTGATTGGCTGACCATTTTCTATTCTTATTATCCATAGAGAAAGAAAGTGAAAATTGGGTGAAATATAACAGCTGATAAATGAACTGAGCTTAACCTAGGAAGAAAATCGAACATAGACTCTTTGTACTAATGAATAGCTTTGAAATGACTAGCAAAAAAAGAAAGTAAATAGAACTTGCACCTTAGGTTTAAACACTAAAGCAGTATGAGATGTTTTATTATTAAAATGAAAACTAAATAAAAGGTGAAGAATAGAACTTGGGATAGGAAGCTTGTTATGTTGTAAACATGTTATTTTTAATCCTAGAGAAGACAAAGGGCAAAGAATAAGAATCTAGCTAGAACACACCCCAGATTTAGAAGAGCTTCAACACTTTGTAGTGTTTAGGGGGCAAGCTTAAAAAAAGAAACTTCCCACAAAAAAGTGTCATATGCACAAAATAATATTATTCTGGCTTACAAAGTACTCTCTTTGGCCTGTGATACCTGTACTACTTCTAGTAACACATTTATCCCATAGAAATAGACTATTGATTTATCTATTTTCTACTAGACTGCAATTACCTGACCTATATTGCAAAGAAAAATTAATATTTTATATGAAATGCACGGGAATATCTATAGAATGAGTATTTTAACTAAATATTAATCCCAAATGATATACTTACTTTATTATGTGCTATGATTGCTTACTCAACTAAAGAGTTTGCATCAGCACATGGTGCCATTTTAGACTGACTCTGACCTATAGACAAAGCCTTCCTATGCCAAACATAATATTTTCTGGTGAAAATTGAATGTAATCTATCATATGTGCAATTATATCTTGAACAAAGAATAGAGGAAATACCAAAATATAACACATTTTGGATGGTTACTATTTTCTAAAATTTTTTTTCCCCTAAAAGCTTCTTTAAAAAAAGAAATCTTCAATAGTTTAAAGTTTTCTACCAAGGTTCCTATAGTGGCATTGTTAGCTTCTTAGATACCTGTTTTAACTTTCAGTGTATTAATCAGTTTTCTCAGTTTTCCCTGAAAATTGTAATCATAGAATGATTTCTCGACAGCTGTTAGAAATACCAGGGTGCCAAAGAATCAAACACTGCTTCAAACTAGCTCAGTAAGGAAAACTTGACTTCTGTTAGAAGGGTGTGCTACTGAACAAAGTCCGGCAAGCAAGAACACTCGGGTGGGCAGTCCACTTGTTTTTATCCCTAAGCCATCACTGTCCTCTTCTCTGATAGGAGGAATTTGGGATTACAATCTACACAACTGACTAAATTTAAAATTGGGGCAGGCAAAAAGAAGGGCTACAGTTAAAATGGCTATGATAGGATAAAGATTGGGAAGCTCAAAACACCTATGATTGGATCTTAATATCCCACTTAAGGCTAAATACTATATTCTGAAAATGGACCACTGAACTTTCAACTTCTCACATGGCTCACGATTATCTGACTATAAGAATTAAACTTATATAAATCTCAAAAAGTGAGTGTTAGTGCCCCTGAAGTCTGAAGGAATATCCCCAAGTCACTGAGAGCAATGGTAAAAAAAAGTCATACAATCTTGGATATCTTACACTCCCAGATTTTAAATTCTATGCCTAACTCAAAGTTCATTTCATTCTAAAATTTATGAGAATTTCAATCCAATTTGATCTAATAATTGATTAATACACTGGAGCTAAAGATACTTATATTGATAGACTAACTAATCAGGTTAACGGTATTTAGAATTGAGGTGAATTATAAATCCTGACATCATATTCTAAAACCAAAATTGATAAACAAGAGATTATCTAGAAGTTAAGTGATTTCTTTTTCTAGAAATAACCAATGAGAAACTGAGATGCAAATTTAGAAAAAAAATAAGATAAAGAGAACACATGATAATAGTACTCAAATGTTTAAAGTTGTCATGTAAGAAGGGGGAAGATTGAGGAGATAAATCAGATTTTAGCACTAACTTTCATTTAGTTTATGTTGTACTTTTTTATTCTTGTGGCCAAACTGAATAGAATGATGACAAACAATTTGGCATTACTTTATGTGTAAAATAAATGGATACCAGCAAAAAAATGTTTTATATAATCATTCAATTTAATTATATTCTCAGTCTGCAACCCAAGAACTGAGTCTCAGTGAGAAATTAATCAATAATTCCAAAATTGGTGCTATGTGCACAGCACATAGAATCTAAAAATCATTGCTCAAACCAGGCATGGTATACCTACAATCCCAGCTACCCAAAAGACTGAGGCAAGAGGTTCAATTGAGCCCAGGAGTTCTAGGTCAGCCTGGATGACATAGTGAAACCTTTTCATCTCAAAAGAAAAGAAAAAAGATAGGATCATAGCTATCTGAGAACATGAAAGGTTATGACTTAGCTACCTATTAATCAAAGTGATGATATTATAAGAGAAGAGAAATTCATAGAGTGGCACACACCTATAATCCCAGCTACTAAGACAGGAGGACCTTTTGAGACCAGAATTTGAGGCCAGCCTGGACAACACAGCAAGTACCCCTCTCAAAAAAAAAAAAAAAAGGCAGGATTGGTTGAATGTAAGAATGTAATATCTACAATAAGAGCATACTACTATTCAAACATGCAGTTTTATAAACAGTAAAGATTTTCTTATACTCTATGCATCAAAAATGATAGAAGTCAGCATCTCATTATATATGTTTTTTTCTTTTTTGCATTTGCTGGGAATGAAACCCAGGGTTTGTGCCTGTTACATACTTGCTATACCACTGATTTACACCTTCAGTCCTCATTACTCTCTTCACTGATTTTCCTCCTACTATTTTCACAACAACAACAAAAATCAAAATATGACCCCTTCTACTTCCAAGCTAGTCTCAGAATATTTGGTTTTATTGAACACTTAATAAAATTAATGAAGGTTTCCCATTTTGTTTTCCAGGAATGAGACATTTGAAGGTGTTTATGAAAATAAATGATTGTTTTTTTATGTTCTAATGTTTTCTTTGTACTGAATTCAACTTTACTCTGTATCTGTATTTTTAACAGATAATAAAGATTATGATGCTTACCTATCATATACCAAAGTGGATCCTGACCAGTGGAATCAAGAGACTGGGGAAGAAGAACGTTTTGCCCTTGAAATTCTACCTGATATGCTTGAAAAACATTATGGATATAAGTTGTTTATACCAGATAGAGATTTAATCCCAACTGGAAGTAAGTTAGTGTTTTCATTTGCATAATTTGTTTGCATCATTACTTTTTACATAGAGTTTTAATTTGAGGTTCTTGACTTCAAAAATTGTATCTACTAGTTTCTGAAAAAGGGAATGTCTTTGTGCATTCGTATGAAATTTAAGTTTTGATACCCCAGAGAAAATGCTTAATTATTCTCTAAAGCATCTCCTTCTATGAGCCTGGATGAAATCAAATGAAATATTTGTATCTGGGAGAAATACTTCAAACATTACAAGATGTAAGGCCCAAGCTCTCTTCAAAGTGATGATTGGCTATTTTCATCCTCTCAAAGTGTTTCCCAACAAATGGCAATCCTCATGTATAGAGAAATTACCAGGGTTTTCTGGACCAAATGATTAACTTGTTCATTCTTATACATTCTTTTCTCTTTCTAGCATACATTGAAGATGTGGCAAGATGTGTAGATCAAAGCAAGCGGCTGATCATTGTCATGACCCCAAATTACGTAGTTAGAAGGGGCTGGAGCATCTTTGAACTGGAGACCAGACTTCGAAATATGCTTGCGACTGGAGAAATTAAAGTGATACTAATTGAATGCAGTGAGCTACGAGGAATTATGAACTACCAGGAGGTGGAGGCCCTCAAGCACACCATCAAGCTCCTGACAGTTATTAAATGGCATGGACCAAAATGCAACAAATTGAACTCTAAGTTCTGGAAACGTTTGCAGTATGAGATGCCTTTTAAGAGGATAGAACCCATTACACACGAGCAGGCTTTAGATGTCAGTGAGCAGGGGCCTTTTGGGGAGCTGCAGACTGTCTCGGCCATTTCCATGGCCGCAGCCACTTCCACAGCTCTAGCCACCGCCCATCCAGATCTCCGTTCTACCTTTCACAACACGTACCATTCGCAAATGCGTCAGAAACACTACTACCGAAGCTATGAGTACGACGTACCTCCTACTGGCACCCTGCCTCTTACCTCCATAGGAAATCAGCATACCTACTGTAACATCCCTATGACACTCATCAACGGGCAGCGGCCACAGACAAAATCAAGCAGGGAGCAGAATCCAGATGAGGCCCACACAAACAGTGCCATCCTGCCGCTGTTGCCAAGGGAGACCAGTATATCCAGTGTAATTTGGTGACAGAAAAGCAAGGGACATCCCATTCCTGGGAGTTTGAGCGGAATCTGCAGTCCAGTGCCTGGAACTAAATCCTCGACTGCTGCTGTTAAAAACATGCATTACAATCTCTAGAACACGAGGAAAAACAGGGTCTTGTACATATGTTTTTTGGAATTTCTTTGTAGCATCAGTGTCTTCCTGTTTTACCATGTCTCTTACCATTACATTTTTTGACTTTGTTTTATATGTCATTGGAATTTGTAAATTTACATTTTTTTTAAAGAAGAGACTGATGTATAGGTAGAAAACCCTTTTTTGCTTCATTAGTTTAGTTTTAGAATGGGTTTTTATTTCCTTTTTTAAATTTTTATTTTGCTTTTAACATTTCCTTGGGGTGCTTGGACAAATCTATCTGATGGGACAAGGAGCACCGGATCCTCTCTCGAGTTCTGCCTAGAATCAGCTGGGCCACGTCGGCCTTCAGAGAGCAGTGCAACGAACGCCAGCATTGCCATTTGTGAAAAACAAGAGAGAGAGAGAGAAGAACACTTGTTCATAGGAGGGCCTGCCTGTCAGGGCCCTGAATCTCTTCCTTGTCCCACCTCATTCCCCACTTCTACCCTTCTAATGGCAGCATGATGTGTAAACTCTGCAGAGGGGTGGGGGTGGGTCTAACTGTCTTAACATTTAATTCACTGCTCTTCAGAATACACTCTAGACCCAAAGGCGTGCTAGTCACTTGACAGTGACCACTACAGAGTGCTAAGAAGAGAAGATCGAGGGCATGAAAATGAGGGAGAGTGTTGTTTCCGTTTTTTTAAATGAGTTGATGTACCCTTATATATATATATATATATATAAATATAAATATAAATATATATGAAACAGAAAAACAAAACAAAACAAACAAAAAAACACAAAAAAAACAAACAAAAAACAAAAAAACAAAAAAATCAAGCCCTATATTTGATCACTTCCTGGAAAGGCATGAATGTGTTTGTGGCTGTTTTTGTTTAATATTCTACTTCCTCTTTTCCCGCTATAATTTTTCTGCAAATGAGATTATGTGCAAATGCCAGGCAAGTTAACTCAAAAGGGTGAATCAAGGCAAGTCAAAATGAAATTTACATTGAAGGCTTTCAAACCAAAGGGAAGAACAGGATGTGTCATCAAATATGTTTTGTCACCTTGTATTATACAAAATGTTATTTTCTAAAGAGTCAGAGAAAATCTGTGAATCTTATTGTGGGTCCCCTTGTATTTAAATGTTAACTCACTTGTGTTTAATATTTAAGGCTACATTCAGGACTAAGTGTTTGGTTTCAGTTTGTGAATAAGCAACACATATTAATATAAGGTGTTTAAATAAGAACTCAGGAGGTCAAACATATGAATAACAACAGAGATCAGTATTTTCAAAGTAAACATTATTTACAAAAGATAGTTTTTAAATTAGATCAGAAAGTATTTAAAATAATTAATTTTACTGTATAAAGAATTGATTTTATTTTAGCTATATGATTATATCATTCAGAAATAGAAAGCTGATGCTCCCAGGAAATTCATCACTTACCACTTAGCTTTATGTTTGAAATTGATGATATAAGCAGCTAATTCATATTCATGTTAAGAATGATGTAAAATCAATCACAAAGGAACCTACAGAGAACAGAATTGTTAAAAGGAAATATTACCTATGTAGCTTTTAGTTTTACAAAAATCAATGTGACAGAAACAGATAATAGAACTTAAACATTACTTTAGTGATTCATCAAAGGAACTTCCATCCCAGTCATCATCTGTGGACTCGTGTAGTGACTATTGTACATTTGCTTTATTCCTACCACCATATAATGAGAAAACAATTCTACAGTTTGGTGTGAGTTGTGAGTTGGCCACAAAAAAAGGATAAGTGTAAACTGCAATAGAGTTCATTGGGGAGGGTAAGATAGAACTGCAAACGTGTGAGAGATGAGTATAAGCATTTTATAACAGTGCAAAGGTCCCAGTATCTGTTTGACAAGGTAAAGGAGTCTTAGGATGTGCATTGATTTTTATTTGCTTAAAAAATGTTTACTTCCCTGACAACTTGCCTGGGTCCTTCTCTACAAATCTGTCTTTATTCCTGTGCTCCCTTGGATCCGTGTCACATTTTCACAAACCAGAACTGAAGCTACAAGGACACATAAAACTTTAAGGTCAGCTTTGCACATTGGGTTATGTTCAGAATCGGAGAAGGCCATTGTTTACTTTGTATTATGGACACCTGTCAGGGACTGGTGGCAGTGAACCTCATTGGACTGGATTCCAAACTCCCCCACTGCTCAGAAAACTGTAAATGTGGCAATGGCCTGGTTTAATTCTTTGGGGCATTTTTGAAACTTTTTATTTTTTTATTTTTTTATGTGCACGATGGAAGTGTGGAATAAATGTAGAGGAAGTAATCAGACCACAGTCATATTTTAGGCATCCATAGGTGTTAATTTAGCTGCATTGGGAGTACATTTTTTGTTCTATTTTTAGCGTAGATTTAAGCACTTTGAATAGCATGATTCAGGGATTGATGGGTAATATTTGATATTCTCACAACTTAAGGAACTTTTTTTCCTCTAATGCTTTGTCATATTTAAAAAATGAAATAAATGCAAAAGAAGCTATCTATGGATTTAGAAACATTCCTCCCAAGTATTCTTCTATCAGCTCCATATGAGAACAAATGAAGGAAACTGTCATGTGTTCACGTGCTCTATGTTTAACAAAAGTTCTGTTAGAACTCACAATAAAATGAGAAAAAATGTATTTCCCCTAGTGCTTAGGTTTCATCCTTCTCTCTCTTTTTTTTTTTTTTGGTGGGGTTCTGGGGGATAAGAATATTCTAGTTGTAAAAACACAATTGCAAATGTGAATATGTTAGCCAAGCTGGGGGAGAGAATGGACTTCCAGACTTGGTCATGTGTGATGTTTGGTATTGCCTGTTTTTCATCAATCGCCGCTTGGGCTCTGAATGATACATACGGATTCAAAAGTCCATCTGGTTCTTTAGTGTAACCTCAACTTGCTGCTTATGAGCGTCCAACCCTTTATTCTGGTGCTCAAATCTTTGATTATTTAATTTGTACCCCATTTCTTAGGTCTTCTGTGGGCAGAGAAGATATTTGTATCTTGTATAGCCAGCTGATTTAAGTTTAGATCAATTCTATGAAACAAATCCAAGACATAGTTAAGAGTCACGAACCTACTACATTTCTATAGCTAAACACCTGATTGTTCAAATAGTTAATGATTTTGTGTTTACTATTTTGTTCATACTATATGTATTGGACCCTACTGACTTAATCTTAAATATGTAGATGCTGGTTTCTTCCATATTTCAATATTATTAATCATTTTTTAACAAGAGCAAATATTAACTGACAGCCAGCTCCTAAACTCTAAGTTTTGATTATCCTAGAATAGTCCTTTACAGATACAATTTATGTAAATTGATATCACCATTTCTAGGAAAACATTCATTCATAAATTTGTGAAGTATTTTCTGATTCTGGAATGATACACAAGTTCTCCCTATTTTAGGGGTATTTTTTATCTTGTGCTTAATATCTTTTTTAAAAAAAAATTAGTTTTAGTTAGTCCCAGAAAAAAAGCTTATTAAAATTCAAAGGATAGTATTGACATGTACCAGCAAAGTGACTTAATAGAACTAAAAGAATACACAGACATGAAAGAAGAAAATCCTTTATTGTCTGAACTAGCTTGGCCCTTAATACCACTATTGATGTAGTTAATTAATATAGGTAAAATATTATTAAATAGGTTAGAAATCCCACCTACAGACCTACATTCTCTTTTGTGGAAAAAAAATTCTAACAGCATATGCAGTCATTACAAAAAGATGCTGATGCAATTGGGCTCCTTAAAAGGAGAAACTTGTCAATGGAAGCAGAGGCTATTCCTTGCCTTCTCTTGAATCCTGCCCCTTGATTATTCTGAACAAAGAAAGTAACCTACAAATTTTGGATGTCCTTAATAATAGACCTTAACCTTGAGGATAACTTGGATCTACAAAAGGATTATAAGAAATAAACCCTTGGAATTCCAGATAAAATCAATAAACCTGATTTTCTGGGTGTGAATCTGAAGACACTTATCACCTAAAAAGCTACTACTATTTGAATTTAGAGATAGTCTCACACAGGAAAATTCATATAAACCCACATATCGTGTAGACATGTTATATCTATCATTTATTACTTTCATGAAAATTCAGGGGATGCCTAGTATTCTTCTAATAGAGGCAATTCCTCTTCCAGTGTAGCCTTTCTTTGTGGGAGAATTACTACATAGTAAACTAAAATTTCATGATGAATATTTATGCCCAGATAAATGAGAATTGACTACTATTATTGGGATAGTTATTAATTTCTTCACCTATTTAAAGTGTAGTTTGGGGTAAAATTGTACAATTGGCAATGATACCATATTTATTAATCTTGTTTATGGATTGTGTTTACTCATCTTTCCTTCAACAAAACTGAAATTCACATAATATACAAAGAGAATAAATAACCTTTTGATATGTTTTTCCAAAAAGACCCAGCTCTTTTATGCAAAGATTTAGAACAGGTAATTTGACTTTCAACAATTAAATCTTGACCAGTTTCATTAATTATGATATGACTTTGGGGCAATATAGAAAATTTTGAGAATAAACTGAAGGTGGTGGTTATTTAAAGTTTTAATTTTTACTTGTAATCCATAGCAAAGTGAAAGCTTATGCTGTTATAAATTGAGGTGGTGCCATAAGGAGCTATAAGAACTGACTAAATTTGAATAAAATAAGGACAAAGATGTGATGAGTTAATTCTAATATTAATCTTATGTGCCTTGTCATCATCAAATTTCAGTCACATCTGTAGAAAATGAAGACTAAAAAGGTAGTCACTCCAATCTTCTATTCAGTATCATTTCTTCACTCCAGGCTCAGAACACAAAGAATTTCTCCATTACAGATGTGTAAGATTATATATATATATATATATATATATATATATATGTGTGTGTGTGTGTGTGTGTGTGTACGTGTGTGCACATATGTATATATGTATATATAGGTGTATATATATATTATATATATCTTATAAAAATGTATATGTGTGGGTGTGTGTGTATAAATTCCTTCTGCTCACTAGTAAATTTACCTCTAAATAGCCTCTGGGTCCACTGACAAACTCATGTTTCTCAATTCTTCATTAAAGTAAGTAAAGTATGGTACTATTTTTTTCTACCATTTACTACCTTCATTGATATATCTCCCAGAGTCCATAAACCTGAAAACTATTCTCTTTCTAACAAAAGTAATCACTCTAAAAATAATCATCACACTGTGTTCCCTCCACTACTAAATGAGTAGAATCTGAAAAACTGCACATGAACTTCAGAGTACCACATGTAATATTGATGTCCTGTAAATTTCAATCTTCATAACCCAGATAATGTTAAGTTTCAAAGGGCATGCTGTGTCATTTAAAAAAAAAGATTTAATGTGCAATGACATTATTACATAGTGCATGAATATGTGGCAAAGTAATTTGGATCTATATTTACTAGTCAATGACAAATTAAATTTTGGGAGATCAGATGTGAGTGTTTTAGGTTTATTCTCAACTGGGAGGAAGACATCTTAATATTAGGATACATGGGCAGTTGTCCATATTCCTTGCAGTATATGTTCCTGTTAACTAGAATCCGTAGTGTATTCTTTCCACCAAAGTAGTGGAGGTATGTTCATATAATCTGCTATTGAATTACAAAAACTTTTACATTTTCAGAGTTTGAAGGAACCCAATAGGAAAGTGGTTTAGTCATTTTCCTCTGCTGGTGTTCAAGTCATATTTTGAACTCAGACACTCTCAGATCTGTTCAACAGTCAGTAAAAAGTGCATTTTACATAGTGTTTCCCTTTAGTTTTGCTTATCCCCTTTTGATTTTGTACAATCTAGAATGTATGTAACTCATGCGTAGGTGATGAAGGCACTCCTTTTTTTCTTAGAATATTTAACAATTATATATTTGGTTTTGCTTTGACTAGCAATAGGAAAATAGACAAATACAAGTGTAAAAATGAAAAATTTTAAACTCGAATTATAATTTGTGTTTTATAGTCGTTTCATAAGTCTGTTGCTCTCTATGAGTATGCTCTCTATATATCCTGTAAAAATAAATTTATATGTTACATAGAAATTCAAGAAATTAAATTATTTATTAAGCTACAAATGTTTCTTCTGATTTCTACGTGATCATAGATGAAAATAAATTAAATAATGTGTTGTTGGAACATATGTAAGTATGTTTGTTAATTTGATAACTCTTGTTATACTTTTCCCTCCCTCTCTATTTAAGCTTATAACACTTAGGCCTAATTCTTGTTGTGGTTTTGAGAAAGAGACTTAAGAAATGCCCAGTTGGCAGAGGGAAAAAAAAAAGGAAAGAGAAACCTACAATTCTTCTTTTTTCTGGATTATGGAGAGGTTCAAATCACTGATTCAGTCACTTCAAAGTCATTATCACATTAATGGTCTCTTCAAGGTTAAATTCCACATTTTTCCTTCATAAACTTTAAGAAACAGAAATGAAAGGAATGATAATTTAAGAGTCTTTCTTTGCTATTTCCCTTTCTTACTTTTTCTCCCCAGGTATTTTATTCCTTTCTTCTTAAGGTACTGTTCACATAACAACCTTAAAATATAGTCCCCTCAGGTAATATTTTAAAGTGACCAAATCTTTAATCATCTTGTTATTCTACTCTGTTTGCATCTACTTGTAGTGCACATTCATTCCTAGAGGGAAATGTTTTTGGCCTTACTTTTCATTTTAAGTTTAAGATTAATAACCTTATGATTTATTTATTTGGGGGGAGGGAATGGTGGTAAATCTTTCCATCACAAGCATAACAAGGGGAAAACCATAAGCCTCTTAGAATGAATTGGTGTTTAAGTAGAATCATATCTTATGAGGACAGCTATTTAAAAAACACTTATCAAAGATGAAGCAGAGATAAATCATGAAAATTTAAAGTAATAGTTTTAAAAACCCTGTAAGGTTATTTTAGGCTGAGTTTTGAAGTAATTAACATATTTAAAATTTCATAAAGTCATTTCTACCTCAGTAAGGTTTTTTAATGAAAGAAAATAACCTCTGTTGAACAAGCAAAATGATATAAGGATTATGACTCAGTGTATAATTTCCATGGTGTATTTTAAATTGTGAATCATAGAATATGACACATGATTCAAAATATCAAGAGAAAATTCTCAAGTTAAAAAAATGTTTGGTATTACTTGTGTACTTCAAACACACACATAAATTCTCAGGAATTTTCAATTATCTTCATATTAATGACAGGTTTTTAAAAAAAACTAGCACTAATAGAACACCTTATAAATTTCTAGAAAATTTCTAATTAATATCATATGTACATTAACTTCCAAAATAGAGAATGAGGCAAATATTCAGAGGATTGTAATAATGGTGGCCCAATCACTTATTGCTGTGGGATTTGGGGCATTTGTATATGGCCTATAAGAGTAATTCAAACAAACTCTTTGATTAATTTTGCATTTTTAAATCAATGCTTTATGTCTACTGATATTGGTTTAAGGTAATTTAGTTAACTCAGAATCCCAGTTTTTTTGTAAGAAGGCAGGTAAGGTTTTAGACGATAGAGAATATCTCATTTTGACCAATTATTTAGCCAATTGCTTACCCAAATTAGCAATTTTCATATGTCAATTGCTTTTTGA